GATGACACAGAAACTTTTGTGGGCATCTTTCATTTCTACTTGAAAACTCACTGTTTTTTGGCCGAGGCACTAATAAGCCAGGAACACTTGGGCTAGTACCTGCTCGCTCCCAACCCTCTCTGCGAGGCTGGAAGTGAGTGGGTATTTCAGAAGGTCCATCTTTCCTACTTGGAGCTAATAGGGTGCGGGAGACAGCACGAAACTTTTTAGTCAGTTTCTAGATTAAGAATAGTTGAAATGACTTATATCTTTTATTTTGGAAAGCCAGGGACAAAAAGATATCCCTTGCCAACAAGTGAGGTGCCAAGTTTCTGTCAACTAACTGCTTAGTTATAATTTGGGGAGTTAGAATTAAATTTATATCTTGAAAAATGGCATCTTGAAGAAAAAAGATGATAGAAGACCATCACAGGCAACTTGTAATTTGGTCCTCTGATGAGGATGCTCACAGCTTTGTGTGGACATATGTTCCTGTGTGTAAGTGTTGGTATGAGGGTGCACATGTACACATATGGGTCAGATGTCAACCTTGGGTGTCACTTTTAGGAGCCGTCCACCTTGCTTTTGAGACAAGGTCTCTCATTATACTTAGGACTTGACAGTGAGGACAAGCTGGCCAGTCAGCTTCAGAGATCCACCTGTGCTCTCCTTTGTACCGCCACACCAGCTTCTTACGTGGGTGCTGGGATTAAACTCATGTCCTCAAGCTTGCTCGGCTCAACACTTCACTGAATCTCCCCAATCCCTTGGAGGCTTCTGATCTACTCTGGGGACTTTCAAACTGGACAACATCTCTTGTCATGAGCCCTCTGGAAGAAGATCATAGGGTCAATGAACATGACTCACCCAGGCCTTCCCTTCATGTCAACCTTGACCTACAATGAGGCGTCTCAGACTCAGCTTACAGCATCATGCTCTTTTCATGGGCTCAGATGAAATTAAAGGAGGGCTCCACTCAGAGACTCCGATCTAGACTGAAAACACTGTACCAAGTACCAAGTTAGGCTTGTTCACTGCTGGTTTGGGGATCATTTGGCTCTTCTGAAACGCTGTCTCATAGAGTCCAGGTTGGTCTCTGATTCTCTATGTAGCTGAGGAGTAAACTTCTGAGCCTCCTGCCTCCACCTCACTAATGTTGGAATTACAGGTCTGCATCACTATTTCCAGTTTATGTGATGCTGGAGATCGAACCCGGGACTTGGTGCATGCTAGGCAAGCACTCTGCTGCCTGTGCTGTGTCTCCAGCCCCATGGTGCCCACTTTCTATCTCCTATCTGCTGACCTTTGTCCTGGTTGCCTGTTAGAACCACCAGAGGAGTGCAAGGAAAATACCAATGTCTGGGCATACACCAGTCCAATTAATTAAGCCATCACTTTTGGGCTCTGGCATTTTACAAAAACTCCCTAGGTAGGTCTAACTTGCTGTGGAGGTTATAAACTGCTGCTGGCCATAGGAGACAGGCCCAGGGTCAGCTGGAGCAGTAGCTTCCTAGGCTGGGTAAGCACCTCTCCTAGGAACGCTCCCAGTCATGTGACCAGGGGTAGGTCACCCTGCCATCCCACAATTTGCATATGTCTCCTGGCTTCCAGGAAAGAGCTGTGTAAACAGCAGAGCTACCGCCCTGAAAGGCTGCCTCCCAGCCCCAAGCCCGGAGCAAAGTCTACAAAATCATTTTTTCCCCAGCAATGCGTTAGGCTAGCAGTTGGGCTGAATCAAGCATGATGGTGAGCCCGGGTCTAGGACTGAGGAATGTTGTCAGGATTCAGTGGGGAAAACAGCTGGAGGTTCGGAAAAGGGATTTTACTTCACAAGCATGTAACCAGGAAACCTCGAATGGGGGAGGGTTGCCATGGTCCTCAACCCCCCTAATGCTGAGACCCTGTAAGACAGGTTCTCATGCTGTGGTGACCCCCAAACATAAAATTATGGTGCTACTTCATTAAGTGTAATTTTGCTACTGTTATGAATTGTAATATAAATATCTGATATGCAGATATCTGTTATGTGACCCTCAAAGGGGTCATGATCCACAGGTTGAGAACCACTGGGTTAGAGTAAACTGCATCCCACCCATGACTGTGAGCCTCAGTGGATTCCATGCAGTCAGCTTAATGCTTGATTTTAATCCAAGGAGCAAAAAGCATCAAGGGTTTTCTCTCTCTCCTTTGGAAACAAATACATGTCTCCACGCTTGAATTTGTCACTGCACTCTGTTTTTGCAGACCGTGAACTGGCACAGAGACTCCCAGACTCAGTGCCCACAAACAGCTGCACCCTATCGTACCAGCAGGTGCAAGGACAGAGCCCTAAAGGGAAAAAAAATCAGTGCAAGAACAATGGCGCCATTATGACACCAAGGGACAGGGCCTGGGGCTAACCACTAGTCCACACCATTTGAGGGTAAGAAGAGCTAGCAAGAGCCATAGCTCCCTGGGATTGTGTCTCTGAGTGACAGCCACCAGAGCCAGGTGGAGCCCTGGCAAGCACAGCAGTCAGCAGCAGAGCCGGACCAGCCCCACGGTGGGTGCGTGTGGGGGGATCTGCAGACAAACACATTCCTTTCCTTTGAACATGACTTCTCCTCCCGTGGGCAGCACCGCCACAGTCACCAAGTTTACATTTACATCCAAATATGCACACAAAAAATTACCGATGCATCTCACTCCCTGGTGACTTTATAACAGGTTGCTAGGTAACAGTGCATACAAGTCAGGTTTCAGGACCTCTAGTAAGCCACCATAAAATAGCTGCATGGGCCTTTTGCATAAACAGTGTGCCTTTGCTATCTGTTTTCTTATGCCAATTGATCAGTCGGTAAATTCTCCCATGGCCAAACCGTAAGCAACCCCCATCAACAACCGAAAACCACAGACCACTATATATACGCCTTTGGCATACAGTGCTTCACCCCGGCCTACAAAGGGTTTCTCCCTCTGCCTCTGCTGTTCACAGCTCTGGGTCTGAGCAGCTGAAGCCTTTTCTCATGCTCGCTGAGAAGCGCTGGAGCTAATAACCACAGCCCAGTGCCTGGTGGGATGGGAAGGGCTAGCGCTCAGAGCTAAGCCCAGCGGGAGCCCTGTATCAGTGTTTTAGCCCAAGATCAAGCCTGCCAGGCAGCCCTGAAGGGATCTGGATTCTGAGTAGAAGGGATCCCACCTTACTACATGCTATGTACCCCTGCTCGGTCTGCCCTTGTCTATTAAGTAAATATCTCCCATGCTAGGCTACGCTAAATGAATATGGCATCCTTCTCCTGGGGCTACACTATAGGAGCCCAGAAAAGGAAGCACCCCTAGGTAACACCTTGTTTTTTTCATTGTTACCTGATGGTTTGGGGAGACAGGGTTTCATGCACTCTAGTCTGGCCTTCTCCCAAGTCTTGGGATTGTAGGTGATTCCCTACAGGTGACACCCTAAAGGATCTGGAAGGCCCAGGGGAAACACCCATTTCCCCTCATATTTTGGGTAAAAAAAATTAAATCTAAAACTCTGAGTATGAAGAACCTGTTTTCCCTGAGGCTGCGATGAAAAAGGAGAAACACGAAGATGAGGAACGGGAAGCTAGGCCAGATGAAATAAATCCTGAGACTGGTCCAGGCCGCGGGCCTTCTTCAGTGTTGCAGCACACCCTACAACCTCCCCTGCTCCCTTCCATCGTGGATCCTTTCCTGGGTGCCTCATTTTTCATCCCGTCTCTCTTCTGTCACCCTACTCATGTTTCCCACTGCTGAGGGGCAAAGATCAGGGTGAGGAGGTACATTCCGAAAGACCCGACTGAAGTGTCACGGTGCAAAGGGACTTCAGAGGGACGCTGAGCCTCTCATTCACCTGGCAATGACATTTAGTGAAATACGACGCATGGTCCATTTAAAGGAAGGCGGTGACCAATTATTCTCCATTTAAAGGGTATTGTCAATCTCCAGAGAGCTGAAATGGCATTTGGAAATCATCCTGGGGACTGCCACCTTCACTGACAGACAGAACCCATTCTCAACCGACCTTTCTCCACCCTCTACAATGCCTTTAAAATTTAAAATCATATTTTCAAAAACAGCATAGGCCTACGTGTGTTAATGCTCCAAGAGAGTAAGAAAAACATCTACCAATGCTCCACCCCAGTGCAAAATGCTAGTTCATCAAAGTCATTGAACAGTAAAAACATGTACTATGTGTTGGCAATGGAAAACAGTGTCTAATAGCAAGACATATTTTTATAACTTATACATCAGCCTCTTTTCAAAGGGCATTAGGGCAATTGGGAAGGATGCTTGAAATTTTTTCTGAAATTCCACTTTCCTGGGCTGCTTACAATGGCCAAGTTCATACAGACCGAAGGTAAATGGTGGTTAGTGGAGGCTGAGGAGGGGCTGGCAGGAACTCTGTCGTTTAATGATACCGTTTGAGAGTGTGACGTATTTCCAGAGATGGTCACACAACACTGTAAATGCACTAAAATGCACACTCCTAAAATGTCTAAACCGGGATATTGTAAGTATGTTTTATCCCAACACAATGATCCTGAGGAAAACTCATGATAACCTTTAACCTCTGTCTAAGGAAAGTCTGTAATTCCTCATGGTAGACTTTGATTACGTTCTTCAAAAAGCTTTGCAATTAAAACAGTAAAGACCCTGAATATCAAAAGGGAGACAGACACAGACGCACCTCAGAGACACCAGAGCAAAGCAAGGAAGAGAACTGAGACCCAAGGTTGTAGGAAGCAAGGACACAAACCTAGATTACCCCCGACTACCCCCACTAAGAGCCCAGGAGAGGGGCAATCCCTACTGTTTCCAGACCCAAGCAGAGGTAATGCTTGTTTTCAAAGAAGTACCAAAACAAAACATAAAAATGGGAAGGGCGGGGTAAAGGAGAGAGGGAAGGAAAAAGAAACCGTTCCAGAGTAGGAAGCATTAGAGCTCAAGGAACCTTGCAGTCACCTAGCCCTACCATCTTATTGAACAGATGAGAAAGAGAGAACACAACCCTATGCAAGTACCTGACAGCTTCATGAGAAAATCGGAGGCCATCTTAACCGAGATGTCCTGGCTGAACAATGCTGCCGCACTGTTGGACACATACTCGGTGGGGTCTTTCAGCTTTGTGTGGTTGGCGGGCCTGTCGGCAGCATTCGGGGTAAAGGAGGCGGGCAGGCCGTTATCTTCCTTGGGCTCCTCCTTCACCAGCAAAGGTGCCACGCCAGCCCTACCCTGGCCAGTCCTCTCTGGAGTATCGGACGTCATCACGGCCCCCACTAGCTCTGTCCCTCCTCCTTCCCTCTGCTGCCCCAGGCAGCCACTGTCACTGAGGTGGGGAGATCCCTTGACATCTGGGTCTGGGATCTCCTCCTTCACCTTGGCCTCTGTCCTCAGGAAGTGCTGGTGGCAGCGCATGTGCAGTTTCAGGCTGAAGTGGCGTGAGGAAGTGAAGGGGCACAGCTGGCACTGAAAGGTCTCTCCCCGGTCCTGGTGCTGATGAACCTGCCGGAGAAGCAACGAGAGTGGAACCGGTCACCACGAGCTTGTGGAAGACGCCCGTCTGCGCCTGTCCGTTCCTCAGTAAGTCCCACACCCCACACAGGGCCGGGAGAAAAGCACCAGAGAGGATGTTCACAACGGTGCGCTAGGCAAAATAAAGTCACTCCTGAAACAGAGTGGGCCCGTGGAGGCCTCCATGCTGTCCTGGGTAGAAGCTTTCTAATAAGCTAGTCACGTGACCTCACTTGAAATACCTTCTGACCTTACGAGGTCAGCAGTCAGGACCCCAAAGACACAACCTTCCCCGAAACTTGTGACAGCAATCCAGAGAATCTGCTGCTTTGCCAACAAAATGGAGAGGAAAAAATATGTCTCCAGGGTATTGCAGCTTCACAGATGGGGAGATGGAACACCCCCACCCCCAATAAGTATTTTGAACCCAGTTCCACATGAAGAAAGGAAGACGGGGGAGGGGGGACGGGGGGGGGGGGGGGGACCCATCTGGGCAGGACGCCAAGCTCCAACAGCGTTACAGGGTCTAAAGAGCGGGGAGAGCCTTGCACGCCCAGCCCCAAACCTGCCTGTACCCAGGACCTGTAACAATGGCGAGAAACTTCTCTCTTCCTGTCACTACCATATTTAGTGCTTGAAAAGGTGAGGAGATCATTGCCTTGGCCCGAGCCAGGCTTCGAGCTGGCAGGTGTTCATAAACTTGTGACTTCCCATTCATCTCACCACCGTGCCTCAGGACTGACCTGTTACACCCTGCTATTTCAGGACTGGCCCTCCCTCGAGTAGGAACTGCCAGGGGTGTAGATCTACGCCAAATGGTTTGGGGGAGTCGTGTGATCTGGACAAACAAGAACGTAAGCAATTGGCACTCAAAACAAAACGGACGCTCCACAGGTCGGGGTGAGCCGACTGGGGTTTGAACCTGGATCTCAGTGAAGCTCAAGGCTCATTTGCTCATCCTCGGTACCACCTGGCCACTTTGCTCAGGTCTCGTTTCCAAGAGAGCAAGTTTTCCTACAGCTGTTTATGCCTTCTGAATGAAATCCAAAAGCATTCTTCACCAGCCAAAACACACTTTAAATAATGTTAAGTGACCAACAAAAGCAAAGAAATTAAGTTAATCGTGAGATCCCGCTGCCACAGCACCCCACTGTGGCTTTCTGCTAAAAACAACAAAAGATCTTCCAGGCTCCTCAATGCCTGTTTCTCAACAGAAACAACCACAAAAGCTTAAATGTAACTGTGACAGGGTCCTGCCCATAAAAGGGTTCTCCTGTACCCCAGAAGAGGGCGGAGGTGAGGAAATGACCGGTCCCTCCTGCAGCAAAGCCCCCCCCCCCAAGCTCCTCAGCCCAGGTCACTCAGGAAGAGCCCCTTGGAGGTGTCAGGACAGCCTCAAGGGCTCCTGACAGGTATCTGCCCAGGCGTGCCCAAAGCCAGGCGGTAAAGGTCACTGGGCAGGAAGCTTCCGTGTCCCTGAGCCTGGTGCCACGGGGCAGATTCCATCTCAGAAGTGTGCTCACATCTCCTGACCCCAGAGAGGAGCTAACCCAAGCTCTAAAAGCCACGCTGGAAGGAAAAAATGGCACAGAGGAGAGCCCAGGTTCCAAAATCGAGGGGGTGGGGGATGCTGAAAAGGGGCACCGTGTGCAAGACCACTTCTCATGGCTCCTTTTCCGCCTCAACCTGGCCTTGCTGTGCTTAGTTTTAGGAAAATTAGTGTCAAGTCGAAGAGCAAAACAGAATTGGGTTCACTTTGGCACTTATAATTTTATTTGAGCTACACCTTCCCACCTGGGATTTGGCTTACATGTGGCCAACGGCAGCGTGGCCCTACTCTCCCGACAGGAGAGGGCTTTTCTGCTATAATTTTGATTCCCTTTAGACCAACACATGCTTTGAAGTCCCTCTTAGACCTCTAAAGAGAAGGAATGCTGGCCAGTAGCAAGGGACTCACTGACGGGTACCGGGTGATGTGACGTCAAGGCCGCCTCCTGGGTAAGTAAATGTGGGACGCTTGAGTTGAAGTATTTCAAGACTTGGAGAAATTCTGGAGAGGAACTATAGCCAACCTCTTAGGGGACCAAGCTGGGCAGGTGAGGGTCTCGTGAGTGATCCCAGGTCTCTAAATGGTGACCTCGGAAGGGCAGAACTCACATGTGACCTCAGGCCCAGTCTCCCTCCATTACGTCAACAGCGTCCTCTGTCTTCACGACCCTCTTTGCCTTTCCCGCTCAGTTTAGCTTCTGAATCTCACAGACTATTCCTGCAGGCTTGCTCACTAGGGCAAGCTGCAGAAGACTTCAGGAAATCTACGATAACCCTGAGGATGCTGGAGGCATTTTCAAGTTCCTCGTGCAGCTGGTCATAAAGACAATTGCACCCTGTATTATGGAGGAAATGCAGGCTTGCAAAAGAAAAATTTGTACATTTGTACAGTGCCCACGCCTGTGAGGAACACAGTAAGCACTGCATTTGTTGACTGCAGTGGAATCTCTGTTCTACTGACATAAACCAATGTAATCAATATAGCATATTATATATCCTGAAGATAATGGCTACTTCTTCAGGATGAGATAAACAGCCAATTTCTTGTTCTTTGTATCAGTTTTTATAAATTCTCAGTACTAAAGATAGATCATAAAAAGAAGGAAGCCATAAAACTTATTTTGGAGTAACTTTTTCTAGCATTTTATTCATTATCCCTAAATGTAAATGTTAATGTATTTTCAGATGGTTTTTGGATAACGATTACTGTATTAGCTGTATTTACTGACGGCTGCTTCTCCACACTGGGCTCTGTATGAAGGTTTTATACAAACGATCTCATTTAACTCTTACCAGGTGAGAAAGACCACATTTGTCTCTCCATTTGTGGTAACAGAGGTGTAGAGGGTTTCAACCATACTACTAAATGCTCACGGGTTCTAAGCCATGAACTCTCACTTAGCTAAAGTCAGATCTTAACCTTTGGCTAGACTGCCCTACTTCTCAGATAAAATTCATTTTAGAAAAATGATTCACATTTGCAGCCTCTGGTAAAGGAAACAGAATATGTATATGCATAAGACCACACCATAGCATTCCTATGGAGAAAACATTTGCCAAATTTTGCAAAGTTAAATTATATTCGATTAAAAAAAATGTTATGAGGCCAATAGGAGGAGGGGAACAGGGACAAGTAGGTATGCCTTTGATAAAATTAAACTTGTATAAGCGCCTCTCACAGTTCCCTATAAAAGGAGTCACAGCTCAACAGGTTAGGACACCATGAGTTTGAATAAAGTAGCGATTCCACACAACTGCTTTACTGTAGTGGTTATTGATTTGTTCTGAAAGCACTCAGGACCCCGCGACCCGCCGAGCCCGGGCGCCTCTCATCCGCAGCACTGTCGTGGCCATCTGCCTCTGTCATCAAGGCTCGAGCTCATCTCCCTGGAGCGTCGGGGTCAGCAGTCCTAGCTATTGAAACCCAGCCTTTTTTCCATGGGTTTATAAATAGGTTGTTTTAAGTGACCCTGAGCTGAAACCAAGTTTACAAGGTGTCAGGGTAGATGCAAGTTTTCTGCTCGCTGAGGCTTGAAATTCACCAGACCTGATTTCTAAACACAGCTTAGGACACAGTTGCTAAAGCAAGGTTGGTTTTAAAAAGGCATTCCTTGTGAAGTCTCAACGCTGCAGGTTCAAAGTGTGAGGTTTTACCTGGAGAAGACTGAGATGAGGAGGGCTAAGGTAGAAGCCAAGTAGCCTCCGTAAAAGTCAGCCAACCAGACTCCTACTTAAATGAGTCCTGAAGATGGAGCTGCTGACCCCAGGAGGAAAAGGCAAATGAGAGAAAGCAGATGACATCATGCATTCACTTTTTTTTCAATCTTCTGAGCTATTTGCTACAGTGAGTAGAAATCTTGTGTGACTGCCCCGTCTAGATCTTCAATTCTGGACAATGACTGATCTATGCAGAAAGATTCAAAGGCAAGATTTCGACATAAGCAGATATCACTGGACTTCTCCTGGGAGTAGAGACACTTCATACATAATGTCATGTCTAAGTCGCATTTGGGAGTTATCAGTACATTAAGATGCCGGGTGACGATTATGAACTCCTTAGGTCAGGCATGTGGCCACTTCTGTCTCCCACAACACTGAGGACGCCTGCACCTGCTCCTTCCCATTTCGTAGAAGGGAAAACTGAGAGTCTGACGGTGACTCGCCCAAGCCTATTTGGTTAGCACAGTGCTGGGAGGATTTCAACTCAGGTCTTTGTCGAATTCAAATAGTCAAGCTCTGTGACCTCATGAGTCCCCCTCCACCCCCCGAAGCTGAAACAAAACCTCAGTATAAAAGAGTTATTTCTATATTGCCAAGTTTCCCTCATTTCCAAACATGGATTCTAGTTAGTTCTCCACAGAAGGGTGGTAGGTATAAGCTTCCTAGTGGGTTTTGTTTTTTTCTTCTTTCCCCGTTTTTCACGTGTATGGTATCCATGTGTGTATGCATGTTTGTATGTACATGGGTGCACATAGGCGTGTTTGTACACACATATGCACATGTGTACACTTAAATGTAGAAGCCCTAGACTGAGATCAGGATCCCTGACCACTCATCTACTCTCTTCACTGAAGCAAGCTTTCCAATCAAACCAGAGCTAGCTGATATGGCTAGTCTTATCTATGCAGCTTGCTCTGGGGAATCCTGTCTCCCCTTCTAAGGGTGAAACTGCAAGGAATGGGCTGCCCCTACCCACCACTTGCAGTGGTTTCTGGGAATAAGAACTGGGTCTCATGCTAACCTGTCAAGAGATTAACTGCTGAGCCGCCCCAGACCCCACAACTGTTTTTAATAGGAGATTGAAAATGAATAACCCAGGCTGTGGTGGCGCACACCTTTAATCCCAGCATTCAAGAGGTCGAGGCAGGTGGACCTTTGAGTTCGAGGCCAGCCTGGTCTAAAGCAAGTTCCAAGACAGACAGGGCTACACAGAGAAATCTTGTCTCAAAAAACAAAAAGAAGAAAATGATGTCCTAGGATGTTTGGCGTCACCCCATGCACTGACAGTCTCAAGAACCTGATCCTAAGACTGAGGGTCTTCCTCGAGGATGACCCTCTCCATTCTCCTCACGACCCAGTGCTAGTGTTCTCAGGCCTGCTCCACTACAGCGCCCCCTGTTGGCCAAGCAGCCTGCTGCAGTGGGTAATAGAAGCAGCCCCCATCCCATCCACAACTGGCTTACCTTCATGTGGGATTTGAGATTGTCCTTGCGAGCACACCGGAATGGACAGAGCGGACACTGGTGACTTTTTAAACCTGTGTGAATCACCATATGCCGCTTCCAGTAACTCTTCCTCTTTATAACCAAACCACATATTGGACACTGGAAAGGCTTCCCGCTCTCTTCTTCTGGGGCTTGGAAGAGGGAGGAAAAAAGTTAATACTAAAGAAAACAAGAAGGCACATTGCACCTGACTGTGATGTGCATGGATCACTATATTAAAAAGCACCACAAACAACTGATGCCACCCGCTTTGGCGATTCTAAGATTATAAGCATGGGGAAAGTTTTAAGGCCACTTTTCTTTGGGAAGAAACCCACATTCAGCTAGTCACTCCCATTGGGTTCCATCTGGCCACTGCTGGTCATCCTGCCTGTGACAGCCTCATTTCCAAAGGCTGTTGTGTACTGACAGGACATCTGAAGAGGAACCGAGCCTGGCCCCAAACGCACCCACAGCCAGAGAAGCCTGAGTCAATATCTGAATTCCCACTTGGAAATGAGTGAGAAATAAAGGCAATCGCATGGGACCAAGAATAATGCACTGTTCCACACAGAAAACCAAACAACTGGCAGAAACCTCACACACTGGTCTCCAGTGGAGACGAATCCCAGCTCCCCACTGCTGACTTGTTCAGCTGTGGCTCGTGCAGACAGAGGCGGCTGCCAATTTAGCCGTCAGGGGGTCCTCGGGTCAGGGTTTTTTCCTTTTTTTTTTTTTATCCTCTTCTGTGTGTCCCTCTGCTTGCCCCCAACAATGCGTACTGACTTTCTCTGATCTGTACGGGGCCTGGCTGCCTACTGTAGGAAGGGACACACCAGGCCCGACAAACACTTCCAGTTGTCAGGGAAGCAAGCAAACCGACCGCTTCCTCTAAGTGCAGCTCGGACCTGTCTCCAGCGCCGTCCTCACAAGGAAGCGTCTGTCCAGACACGACTGCATCCATCAACTAACCTCTACAATTCGGTGGTGTGGGAAGTGAACACTGGTGCAGCTAAAGGGTGTGTGTGTGTGTGTGTGTGTGTGTGTGTGTGTGTGTGTGTG